GCATTCTATATCTACAATTAACAATTAATTCTCTGAATAATAATATTATAGTCTTGTACGATTAAAATTATCGACGTATCATTTGTTTTACTATCTTAGTATATATGCAAATGAACGTTTCGATAAATCATAGATATTTGTCATCATCAACGTGCAGTGTATGTACTGTATATACGTTATTTACAGTAAGCCGCTTGTTCTGTTTAAATTATACGTGATAAATTGTTATTGTTAAAATATGTATAAATTAGCTTTACCGTATTCACAATAATCATTACTTTTATCAGTTCGGTAAGCGTTATTCAATTAGACGATTAAACTGTTCAAAATAGAAATAAGTCTAGTGTTTGCTATCACTACCTTTTCCCCTTCCACGAGTCATAGATTTGTTTTAGATGAACACGAAGTAAAATACTGTTATTTTCGGTGCGATTTATTTGATAAAAAGCCATTTAGTCGATGGTTTAGTGATTGAATATTTTATTAATATAGTCGAAACAATTTTTAGCACAATAAGTTTTTTGGTCGAAGTAAAAAAATCAATAGATTTTCAATTAACTTTATCTAATGTTTTTATATATGTAATCTGTGTGTAGGTTTATCGTAGTGTATATTTAAAGTGTTTATCGACTTTTCAATATACGATAGTTTAAATAAAGTTTTATTTTTTTTTTTAGTTATAATTTTTTATATATTATATAACATGAATATTGATATTTTTACATTCATGGATCAATGTTATTAAAGAAAAATGATTTCATATATGTAACAAACAAAAAAAAAAAAAGATGGTACGCAAAAATTTCGGTTGACAGTGAACGAAAAGCGATAACGGGTATTATCTAAACACCTTAAATCTTGACTAAGGACACATTCCATTCGTCGATGTATATTCAACACGCTTCCCGTAAGGGACCGCCATTTCCTATCCCGACAACTCAATGATCTTTGTCTTTGTATGATACGAGAAAATATTAACTTGATAATAAGGGGATAATAATCGGTGCCGAAAATGAGTTATACGTACGAGTCTGAACGTATAAACCATAAAAATAATAATTATAATTATAACAACCCAGTGGATCGTTTCGATTATAATTTGCTGCAAAGATTTACGTTTTATTTTTATTGAAACAAAAAAACATTTTTTACCCGTTTATGTAGATACATTATAGTATATTATATTGTATGCATATATATTTACCTTAATCGCTGAATTGGCGAATTTGGTTGATTTTCATTTTAATATGTTTAATTTGTACACAAAACCAATGAACCAGGAAGTGATCTATACATCCAATAATGTTTTTGAGTTAATATTATATTCTTGTTGTATTATTTTATAAATATTTATAACAAATGTATTTCAACAAACATGTTTGATTTTTTTTATCGAAAAAATAAAAAAATCTAGTCATAAAATATGATTATGATTCCGTTATGACAGACGATTACCAAAGTTTAATATTTTATGTATGCTGTACGATAATGGCACAGTTTTATCAGTTATAAAATATAGTAACTTTTGGAGTTATTGCTGTGATTAATTAGTAAAAATTATCAAAAGCTAGTAAGATATATATTTATATAGTAAGGTACCTATTGATTTTAAAACGTTTTAAAAGCCAACAATAAGATTTAAATTGAAGATAAAAGTACTAAATTAGTTTCGAAAAAATGATATTAAAGTGTGTCTGAACTGGTCGAAAGATAATTGGAAAAAAAAAAACAAACGATCGTAATAATAAACCTCTACTTCAGAGTTATGTTAATATTTTTTCAAAATTATTATAAAATACCTAGCTTATTGTTTGTACGTAATAGGTGCACGTAATAATTTATATTAACACACGAAAGTCTGTTGATTTCTACGATAATAGGGTTCAAATATTATATAACTTTTGATTAATTTATAGTTTTACATTTGGAACGCTGTAAGAAACACATACAACGCTACACAACTATTTCACGTTACCATAACGGTATTTAATTGATGGGAATAAATTTGAAGAAAACCTAAAAATTTTAACGTACAATTTTATAATTTATGAGGGAATAGACCCACCCGATCGGTCTCACGAATAATAATATTTTTTTACACACAGTACCGTGTGTGTAGTTGACAGTGTTTTTCGTTTACAACAACGGTCGCTAAAATTTTGGACATCGAACCACTATATCTATAACACTACGGACCACTATAAAGTTAGTGTTTATAGCATTTATAATACAAGGTATTAGGTTTTTATTCAGAGATTTTTAATTTTTAGCTTATTTAATTAATCCAGTTTCGCTGATAATTCTTCAACTAAACAATAAAATAAAAGATTTTTTTTTTTCAATGTTTTTTTCATATTGCATTATTGATTATTACACTTTTATATTATATTTGTGCTGATTGCCGTACATCTATCGTCATCGATCGGTAAGTCAAAGGTACACACAATTTCAAATAATATTTAGCGTTATTCGCAACATCTAACATTTTCTCGCGGACCACCAGTAGGCGATCGTTGATTTACAGGATACTTAGAAAAATGTCAACATTAGCGAATCGTAAATGAAACGATCCTAATAGGTATTTCTTCAGTTTCGCCGTTATCTCGACGCAATGGGCTTTTTATTTTTTTTTTCGTCTTTCTCTGACATCGTTTGTATATTAGTCGTGGGTCACAGAACTACGTGCACATTGCTATTGATCCTACCGGAGCAGCAAACGTCATGTAAAATACATATCCGAGCTTGGACTGTGCACAGCAGTATTGTAGTGCCGACGAGGGTTCGTCGGAAAACGGACTATTTTTTCGGAATATAAATGACATAATATAGTGCAGTACCCTGAAAAAAAAATAATAAATAACAAACGCCTATAATAATATATTATATTGTGCATTTTGGAATATGCACAGCGTCTCCGCGATCGAGTGTGGTAATAAATTTACGCTTCACGGCATTCCATAACGTTTATCATGAAAACGACAAAATAATAACAATTCATAAAAATTTACTCGCACGCACACGTCAAAAAGATATTGGTTTTCATATATACTCGATAGTACCGCCCGTGCGTTACGGGTGTGCGACACTGTTTTACATCGTACATGCACAAACCCGTTTGAAAATATTTTGATCCCTCACAATAGGAAACTAATTTACATTTTACTCGCCCAAAATGAATATTGCATTAAACATCGTTTTCCCACACTACAGGAATAATAACAATCATAATAAGAACAACATTTATCAAAAAAAATTTTTTGAGTAATACTTAAGTACTGCTTGTATATTAAACGTTTATACGTCTGTATAGCTGTTATTTTTAACAAATGTACTATGTAATTCAGTTATTTTAGCATTAATTCATCATTGATTAATGCGGAACTTTAAACTGCCAAATAATATTTAAAAAGTTTAAAATTCACAGAATTATATTTATTATAATATAATGTTTTAACTGAAGATTCGAGTTGAGGACACGTTTTCTTCTGAAAAATAATTTACTGACATGCGAAATATTCGATTTTTAGTCTATGATATACAATATATATCATAATGTATTTCGTACTTATTTTACAATTCAATAACGTAATATCTTAAATTTTCCATCGATACGCTTCGAGAAAAACATAAAAAAATACTACCAATACAATTGACAACAAATTATAATTTTTGATATGAGTTATCTCTTAAAAAAAAAACTGTAATTATTGCTATTACTACTATACAAATCTAGAAAACGCGAGAGAAATAAAATATGTGTGAAAAAATAATAATTTAACTTAAAGATTAAATTAAGTTGTTACTTAGTAGAATAATAATTTTTAATAAAATTTATTCGTGATGATGTATGATATTTAAAATAATTTCAAACTAAAACTACAGTTGTATCTCTCAATACATTAAAGATATACATTCAGATTTTAAAATTATTTATAAAAGAAAAAATAATTGAATATTCCTGAAAAAAAATTGTATTTTAAAAAATCATAATATACACATTCTTTTACAATCAATTAAAAAACATATGGGTAATGAAAGCACTTAACAGTAACAGTCCGTTTATGTTCAAAACTACTATAAATTTAAAGAAAAACAATAATAATTTGATAAAATAAACGAAAACTGTTTTGTTGTAATGTGATTTAAATTTTTATAAAATTAAAAATTGTAAATCGTAATGTAAGCCCAATGCAAAAAATATCTGCGATTTACGTTTTCTTGTAAAACACTATTAATCTGTGTCGAAAAGACTACAGAGTGATTTTGGGAGGCCCAACGATGGCCGTGATCACATATAGTGGTATAACTGTGATTACGCTAGGGGCACGAATCACAAAGGGGCGTAAAATCGTGCATGATTTAATTTTACCTTTAAAACAAAAAGTTTACATTATACTTAGATCTTGTCTAATTTAACGATCAAATTAATTATGAAAATAGCACGAGGGAATAAATAAAAGAGATTTCATACGAGGAAATGATCGATCAATTAGCCAGCTTCAAAGCGAGAATAAAAAATCTTCAGTATTTAAAGTGTGCACTGCGGTGATGATTCACAATTTGTATGCTTAAAAAAGAAAAAAAAAACAGTAAAATCAAAGGTCAACAAAAATATGGTTGAATCAAATTTTCAATCGGTCGAAAAGGGCGTTTTGTTCCAATTCGGCCTGGGGGCTCTGGTGAGTTTTTCTTCGGCACTGATCGCGAGCGCAACGGAAACGATGTAAGGCCGACGTGTCGAACCGGATACGAAGACGTTCGTCGGGCAGGGGCTATTTCTCGTCCACACCCCGACGCCGCGGACGCCGACACTAACACTGCAGTTAATCGGAATTTCAAACTACCCCCTCCCCTGCAGCACTCGGAAGCGAAGGGCAGATGGGGGTGGTGATTTTCCGGAGGGGGTTGTTTTTGGCCGCGAGCGAGTGGGCGGAGCTGGCGCGTTCGTCTGGACCGAGAAACGCCGTGGAGCGTGTCGCCGCCGCCGCCGCCGCCGTCGGCGGGCTGGCTAACAGTCGTCTCGCGGTATCCGACACGGTGCGCCGGCTGCACTCGCCCGTCCGACACGAACACATCTTCCGAGATCCGTCGCACACGTATCGTCTCGGATCGCGTCCGCTAACCGTTCACCGTGTCCAAATCGTGTCCATATCGTGTGCACCATCGCAGTTTTCGTCGACACTTGTCCCTGATTAGATTCGTGTGCACATACTCCGACGACCGTGTACGCGCGCATCCGTCCCGCCGAGTCCGGATCCCCCGAGAACCTGTGGTCTTCAACAATCCCGACGCCGATAAGGTAAGCTACCGGTCGATTTTACCAAACAGGGAATTGGGCGGTACAAAACGTTTTGCAGTCCTATGTGAACGAAGCGGTGAGGGGGATCGCGGTCTGACGATTGAATTCATATATTGTGATTTTAATAGAACGCGTTTTCGATTTAAGCGGATTAATTAGATTAAGAAAACAAAGTCGTACCGATGTTTCAGGATTCGAAATCGATAGAATAAAAACCAACGTCCCGGAGGGTACGAACAACAGGATAATTGTGATAATCGCTATGAGACCGGGAGCAACACGTCAACAAATTCGACATCTACCCAATGTTTCTCCGATACCGCAGACCAGTGCCGAATTAAATATTTGTGGGCTCCTAGGCAATTAAAATGTTGGGCCCTACAAAATTATTTTTTACCTACATCTTCAACATTACCATCCAATAATTAAAATAAATAAATTTTATAATAACCAACTATTATTAATAAATAATATATATTTGCAAGAAAAATTAATTAATAATTATATTATTTATATTTTTTTTCAAAATTATTTTATTATTATTACTGCATATAAAACCTACAACTTAATATATATTATATTTCATAATGAATTTTGTCCCGTAAATTCGTAAATAAAATACAGGTACCTATTATTAAATAAAAAAAAAATATAGTTTTTCGTTTTCACAAGGCCCCTTAAACGAGTGAGGCCCTTAAGCGGGCGCCTACTCTACCCAATGGGTATTCCGGCACTGCCGCAGACGTATCTGGTGTGGCAGAGCTGTTAAGGTTACGAAACGTTTAGAGGATACTATACTACGTGTACGTCATTTCCGTTGGTTTTTGTCCGTACTTGATTCGCGTACGGTTTTTTAGGCCTCGAATGATTGGACTACGTGTTCAACACTAACGGAAATCCCGTTTACGGAACCCTATTTCATTCTTTACGATTTCCGAATATTTTTAATGACGTAAGTACGCTCTTTTATCGTACGTATATGATTTCGTACGAGAAACGTGGTTATATTAAAGTAATCATCGTAAAATTCCGAATGAGGATGGTGGTAGGAAAATTTTTAATTTTTTCAACCCTCCACCTTTTGGATCGCTTTTACTACACGTTTTTGAGTGTACATCAAAAGTCTGATAGCAAGAAAGGCCTTTGTGTGAGGCACAAAATTATTTTTTATCCATCGCGTTTCGTAGTGGGTACTATATACGATATAACGAGTGAATTTTGAACGGTTACGTGCGTCGAATGACCGCGAAAAGTTGCGAAATCTACAGGCTACAACACTTAGCTTAATACAATTTTCCACTTAGGTTTTTTTTCGTTATAAACAAACACATAACAAAGTTATCTCAGAGTTTTAATTTTTCACTGATAGTTTATGTGTGATTATCTTTATCCAATATTTCGACTATAAATGTTTACACAACTGAATTTAAAAACTGCGATTATTGTTTTTGGATGGAAATTATTCACATATTTTATTTTTTTAGATACTGGATTGTATAATATATATATTCTTTCCCCAATAATTAATAGTTTTATTAATAGTAGTATTTATTTTTAATTTTCTCATATATATATTCAAATATTTCGCAACAGATCTATGTAATTAATATATTACCATTCAATTTTTTTTTTTTTTTTTTTTTATATAAAAACGGCTTTATTCTATTAAATGTTTTTATAAATTAAAACTTAATTAAATATATCTTGACAAAATTCAAATAATTGAAATAATTACAATTTATATTGTTACGTACACAATAAGATGTAAGCATATAAATAATTGAAATCAATTCACAATAGGTATTAAAGTTACTTTAGTTACCTTATTAAAATTACTGTATTTGGTACAAAGAAAAAAGTAATAAAATTTATTTAAATGTTATGAGTTACAAGGTTCTTCCTGCCCAACGAGCAGTCTCGCCATCCGGTCTAAGGAGTTTATCAGCATATTCCATTTAACTGACGGTGATTCCTACGAAATGCAACATATAATAACTACAAATATACATATTTATATAAATGTATTATATATGTAAACTAATACCACTATTCTTACATATTACAATCAAGGGTTCATAACATTGTATAAAAATACAACTATAAATATAAATGTATCGGTCAATAAATAATTCATATAAAAGCTTAATACTTTCATACAAAGTAATTAAGAACAAAAACAAGTTTTTAAACAAAAAAAAAGAATTTATAAGGCAGATTTACCTTCTGAAAAATAATCGTTGTTGATTTCTTCGTCAACATGACATTAAAAATGAAAAATGAAATGATTTAAGAGTCTTGTTCGGCATAAGTATTTCGTCGAGAATAATCATAAAATCAGCAATGGCTGTAATCAAACCGCAACCAAGTCTAAAGATTTTACGCGTGAAGATCTTATCCTGATTCTTAATCAAACATAATATTGGTGTTCAACGAAGTAAAATAAAATGCACGGTTGAGCACAAGCCATTCATTGCAAGTCAATGGTATACAGTTGAGCATACAGGAGTCCATAACTTTGTTTATGTTAAAAAAATATTCGTTTCAAAACATTTCCAATGTAAAAAAATATCGTACTTTATTAAAATGTAATGTTCGTAATGAAATGGTATAATTATTGTCTCATAAGCAAGGCAATAAATGATAGGAATTCGTTCGGAAATACCGACGTATACATCAAGGTTGTCAACTTGGCAAAATAATTGGTTAATTCGGGATATGGCGAAAACTATACGTCATTCGCTAAGACAAATTATAATTGCATCCCTAAACCGCTCCCACGTATCAGCACGTCATCGTTAACGAACAAAGTGTTGCTTTTAAAAATTGTTTTATACTCCAAAGTTAAAATTTTCATCTAATGCAAGTACTCTCGATATAATTAATTAGTTCTACGTCGTCAGAAAATTGATGGGCAGCACGGTAAAACACTAGTTAATTATTATAGCATGGCCGTTAACAATTTTAATTCAAACCCTGTCCGATTTCGAGCACTAGCATTTTGCGCACAATAACTATTTCCCGGTAACTTATCAAAGGTTAACACCGTCGCCGCCACCGCGAACAATGAAGACAACAATCGATTTACTTGAGTTCGGAATTCCAGAGTTACACGTTTGGATCCTTACAGGTGAGGGGGTTGTATAAGTCTACTTTATTATGTACGCACTCGACATGTTGTTAAAGAACGATAGACGCACTGACAATCAAAGTCAATGATGTATTCGAATTATTTGACGTTATGTTATCGAAATATGCGAATTTATTATAAACGAGTTGTTGGAAAAAGTGAACGCGTCCTGGGAGGCGAGAGGAAAAAAAAATATAATAATCCACAACGACGAACCAAACAGTTTTTGTCAATATTTGCGTACCGCGAGTTAGTGGAAAATAGAATATCATGTAATATGTTGCACATTATGTACGCAAACAACTTAGTCGATCCGTTTACCTACGAATAAGTACGTATACACATTATCGTCATCCGAAAAATCGAATGGATCGCTCAATTCGAAGGGATACGACCACATTTGACGTTTACCCGAACACAGTGGCGTAACGATAGGGTGGCATGACGGGCAATGGGCCACGGGCCCACGACTCTAGGGGGCCCTTCAAGAAAAAAATAGTACATTCAAAAACAAATCATCATAATAGTGAAATTTATAAATACGATTCTGTTTAAAAATATATGTATATTTTTGTAAAATAAAATAAATTTAATAATTGATCACGATTATGTTTATAAATTATTTTATTTACCAGTCCGTCGACATTGTCGATATTAATATTATTAAACATTTAATGATATTGTTATTTGTAAAATGGAAATAACAATGAAGCGTATCGCAATCGCTTGTCTTTGAAACCGAACGTAACATTTATATTTAGATACTAGATCAGATTAGAACTATTCTAGGAAAAAGTGACCATCGTTTAGTCGTTGTTACTTGATGTTCTTTTAATTTATATTTTATTTTGTTATTAGTCAATGACGTGCCGTTTGGGCTGGTCGTTATGAATCAGTTTTTGCGCTTAAAATTAGATTTGTTGAAATTCAAAAAGCTTTAACAAAAGTTATACTTTGCAACTCTAAGTTAGATGAGCGAAATGAAGCAGATGGGATTAAAAAACAAATTGAAAATCATAATTTTATTTGCACTTTAGTTTTTCAATGTAAAATTTTACAAATTATAAACCTAACTTCTAAGATTCTCCAGTCAAAGTCATTTGATTTAGATAATGCATATAATTTATTAAAAAACTGTTATGAACAATTAAAAGAATATAGATGTAATTTTAATGATCTCTTGGAAGAAGCAAGTATAGTTGCTAAAAGTTGGTCTATCTCTACAGAGTTTCAAAACAAACGTCGTAAAGTAGTAAAAAGATATTTCGATGAACTATGTACTGATATGCGTTTAACTTGTCCAGAAAGCTTATTTCGTGTAACTATTTTTAATATAACGTTGGATATATTAATAAATCAAATAAGTAAACGTTTTTCAAGTTTTCATGAATTAATGCTAAATTTCACATGTTTACAACCATCTTTTCTCACATCAGCAACAGCTTTAGAGCTTTTAAATGAAGCTACAAAGTTGGTAAACAAATATGATAAAGGCATATCAAAAACATTTACAAGTGAAATTTTAGCTGTAAGATCAACTCTTAAAAATCAAATAAATCAACTTAATTCAACTAGAGATCTTGCTCAACTTTTAATGGTGAAAAATCATTCTTTAACAGCTAGTTTCCTAGAAGTATGTACTACTCTTTTATTATTTTTGACAATTCCTGTTACATGTGCAAGCGCGGAACGGTCATTTTGGAAACTAAAAATTATTAAAAGATATTTAAAGAGTAAAATGATACAAGATCGTTTAAGTGGCCTGGCATTAATTTCAATCGAATAAGAAACAGCCCGAGAAGTTGACTTTGAAGATTTAATCGATATGTTTGCCGAAGCAAAAGCAAGAAATTTTGAATATTTAAATTTTGTA